GCCCCCGCAGCGGCGGTCCCGGAGCCCAGAAAGCCGCACGGCGTGAAGCGGCATCACCACAAACACAACTTGAAGCACCGCTACGAGCTGCAGGAGACCCTGGGCAAAGGCACCTACGGCAAAGTCAAGAGGGCCACCGAGAGGTTCTCCGGCCGAGTGGTGAGTGGGGGGAGTACCTGGGGGAGCGGGCTGGCCGCGCCTGGGGACCCAGGGCGCCGGGGCCGGGGGTGTCTTGGGTGCTGAGTCTCTGTCGTCCGAGAGGGGGCTTCCCGGGAACCCCCAGACAGCTCCACTCTCCCCCCAGTTCCCCTGACTCAGGCGTGTTTCTCTCCTGAAACACTTGTTACATCCTGTCTGCGCATATTTTGGGGGGTTTTTATCCCAGCAGCAAAGTAGTGTTTATGATTTGCAAACACTTTGCAACGTTGGGACCGCCGGGGTCTCCCTCGCGGGCTCGCATTCAGACCATGCCCTGGAATGAATGCCTTATTGCTCCAACTCCAGACCAGACCCCCGTCCTCAGCTCAGAGCTGGCCCCCAAGTCCCGTGTCCTGCAGACGAACGCAGCCCCCTCCCTGTCACCTTGATGCTGCTGTCACTCCAAGGGAGGGCTGACTTCTGCCTGCCTTTCAGAGAGAAGGTTAGGGAGCAAAAGTAAAGGCTGCTGCAGGCATGAGGATTATGACAGTTTGGCCTGGCTTCTGGGAGGACTGAAATGCCCAGGGCTTGAGGAGCCACACAGAACAGATGCTGAGCCGCAGCCGGTTCAATTACGTTTCAGGTCCTGGCTGCAGGGCTCCTAAATTGCTTTAGGGGTCTGGACAAGCCGCCCCGCTCTTTGTGACAGCTGAAACCCTGCCTGGGTCCCAGCACCATTTGCACAGCCCCGGAGAGCGCCTTGAGTGCCCTGGGGTCTCTAGATTGTCACCAACTTGGTTCCTTGTCATTTTCCTTTCTGTAGAACAGGCCCCAGAAATCCACACTGCTTGTGGCTACCGGATTGGGTTCAAAGGGACTGACTGTTGCAGAAAGATTCTGTGTGGTGTGTGGCAGAAAATTAACAGGCTTCTTCGATTTGAAGCATATCAGATGGATGTTAATTGATTTAGCACCAAAATCAGGAACTAATTTTGGGACTTCTTGTGTGCACTTTTGGGGGTGTTTCGTGGCCCAGGGTTGGTTATAAACTTAACAAATGACCAGAGGGGAAAAAGCAAAATGAATTGTTGAATGAATTGGTAGGTTGATGTTGGTATTTTTTTGTTGCATATGTGCAGAAACTCTTCTGTGAAAAAAAGGGGGGCACCAATCAAAAAGTTTAGCCCCCCCCAATTCTCAAATATTTGGATACCTGGAAAACTCCCTGTGGTAGCTTCACTGTTTGGGTTGATACAACTTTCTCCTATAGCTTTTTAAAAAAAGTCTGTTGTAGGTTAATTGGAAATTTGAGACATTGTACATTATGTATTTTAAGCTGTGTCCAATTAAAAAATTCTATAGCAAGCAAAAGTAGTGGAGAATTCACTCTGGGCAGGTGCCATTTTTGAAGGCTGAAAAATGTAAAGTTGTAAAGATGTCCCTTGCGGAGCACACTCCCAGGTTTGTGGGAGACGAGGCCGGGGAAACGTGCGCTTCATTCATGCTTTTCTTCTGAGGTGATACTCCCCAGGCTGGATGTTGAATAAGCAAAAACTAGGCTTAGCTTCTTGCTCGTGTTGTCTTAATAGCTGTTGAAGAATCGCGCTGGGAAGCTGGAAAGTGGAATAATGAAAAACAGACGCGGCTGGAGCTGCAGGTTGAGGATGGGAGCTTGCGACCGGCTGAGTAAGGGTGTGTCTGGGGGCATCAAGGAGGGGACACAGCAGCCTGAATTCTGGGGAGCTGCTGAAAATGGAACGCAGGAGACCTTGTGTTGTGGCAGACACCTTTCTGAGCCTCACTGGAGCCTCCTGTCAGGCGTTCACGTCGCTGTCTGAGCCGCAGCGCGAGTGAAAGGGATTGCATCAGTAGAGGGGAGCCTGCCGGTCCCTTTCCGTGGGTGTCACCCTTTATTTCCAGAAACTCTGAACATTCCGGCGGGAATTAGTGGAATGTCCACTAGGGGGCGCCCTGAGAACGGAAGAGGCTCATGGCTCCGCGGCAAGACTCGAGTCCCGCTCTTATTGTCCAGCCCTAGTTCAGTTCCCCATTGTGCTATTTATTTCAGCTCAGTCTCTTGCTTTACTCAAAAACTAATGCAAAGATTTTGAATCTGGTAGCAGATCCAGACCCAGAAACTGGCAGTCTCCAAACTGCTTTCAACTGGATGGATAAGCTTACAATGTTAGCAGAGTCATCTGGTGAATACCTTGCATTAAATAGGTGGGAAAACTATTGGGTGAGGTTGGGTGAATGGAAGGCGTCCTTGGCCTTGAGTCCTCCCCCTGCTGAGCACACTGCTCACAGATGGTGTAAGAACTTAAGCGAGAAGCAGGAATTGTCAGGTGGAAAATTCCCTGTGCCTGGCTGAACAGAAAATAAAACAAACATACAAAAAAATTGGTCAGCAAGTTGTTCTTGCCATACAGTGCTTGGTGACTCAGAATCTGTCAAGAGCAGCAAGAAATTTTCATCTAAACTGGCAGTTTTCTTCTGGTTCCAAGGATGCACTTAGCCACAACTTGCTTTTAAGGTGCAATTGAGGAGAATTGACGAGCCTGTCTCAGTTCTGCCGTTTTGATCTTCAGGGAGAATTCCGCAGTGATTTATTTTCATTTGTGGCCTCGCCTTCTAGAGCACTTCTCAAGAGGTGCAGTGGCTTTAAGCTTCTTTGCCAATGGGAGTGGCCGGAGCGGGTGCTGGGTGTCAGGCTGCATGAGGTACCCTCTGCAATCAGTACTCTTGAGGCAGAGAAGTGTTTTAAAACAAGAATGTTGTGGCTTTTAATTGCATGTCTGGAGGGCCTTCTGAATCAAACAAAACACCGCATAGCTATGATTCTATGATCAGTGAAAGGCAGCTCCAAAAAGAGCTGCAGAATCAGAAAGTTGGATCAGCTGGTCCAACCCTCCGCATGGTCCAGGCATCCTCCCCTCTTCAATCCCAAGTGTGGTCTTGTGGCTATTGCCTGTGCCTGTCCAGAAAACAGGGTCTCAAAGTGGCTTCTTCCAACAACAAGCCACTTAACAAGCCCAACAACAAGGCACTCTTGCAGAAGCGCTAAGAGCTCTGGCTTACATTCAAACCCTGACCCATCCCTTGCTAGCTTTGTGACCTTGTGCAAGAAATCTCAGCTTTCTCATCTGTAAAATGGGCAACTAATAATACCAGGTTCACGGGCTTGTTGTGAGAATTGAGTAAAATTATCTATAGAAAGCTTCAAAAGGGGAAATAAGCCAATTTTTGTTCCCTCTTCTAGTAGATTTATTTTTTCTCAGCTCACTTGGACTTTCATTTAGATTTTAAGGCCATCAGAAAGGCATGATGCTTTGGACAGTTAGCCTTGTATTGTTCAGAGAGAGGTAGAAGAAACAATCATCTTTCCATGTTAATTAGGGAATGCTAGGGAAGTGCTCCCATAGGAAGCCAAGGCAGTCGGATTCCAGTAGGCTCTGAATGTATTTCTAAAGCCTTGGATTTAGGCTTTATTTATTGCAGAACTCTTGTTTTGCTACAACTTGGAGCAGGGCTGTCGAGCGGGCGCCTGTGTCATAACATGGCATGCATTTTCTTTGAGCCAAACTCCCTGGACCTTGGGGCTGCACAAAATATTGACAAAAATACCAAAACCAAAAACAACATTTTGGGGAGAGGTGTCATGTGATCACCTCGCTGCCAAGAGCCAAATTCAACTTTCCCTGTGTACCAGGTTATCTCTGGTATGTGGTGTTATATAAGCAGGAGGAAAGGTCTGTGGGAGGGATCTGGCATGGGGGTGACAGGACTGGTGGGCAGAGTGTGCCCCCAGGTCCCAGAGCTTTAGCTTGAGTGACAGACCATACTCACTTGGCAAAGGTACTGATTTGACCCAAAATGGGTGTTTTAAGCGTTGGCCCTGTTATTCATAGCCTGGTGGTAGAACGTTGCAGATCAGGGAGTGAGTTAGCAGGCTCGGCTGCTGAGCCTGGGCGTGTGTGGCTGTCATATGCATGGTGGCCGAGGTGCCACTTTGCAGCTAAGACCCAACCCAGTTTCAGGGAGCAAGGGACCTTGGCAAACATGTGGTCCAAACTTCACATCCTGGAGGTGGGAAAAGTAAGGCACAGAAGCGTTAGGTGACTTTTCTGAGGCTGCACAGCTCATAAGTGACCAAGCTGGGTCCAAGAAACCTGGGTCTTGGTTTGGTGTATTTCCATCATTCATTTAATAAATCTTTCCTAGAGCAAGGCATGATCCTCATTCTTAAAGAGCTTATGATCTAGTAGCAAAGATGAAATGTACTTACAAATATTGAACTAATTCTGCTCAGTTCAACAAAGATTTATTACCATCTGCCATATGCTTCTCACCATGTTAAATGCTGGGATGTAGACAAAGGACTTACCGTCTGGAAGAGACAGAATTAAGCAGTTGCTAGGCAAGTGCTATATAGGACTTGATGGTTTCAGGTGATTTTCAAGTCAGAATGTAGTTCATTGAAGCTTAGCTCTTTCCATTGAGTTTGATCCTGCATAGGAACACCCCTTCCCTATTTTAGCCCTGCTGTTATTACTACCAGCTGATATCTGGGTGAGCTTGGGGTCTGTCTACTTCACAGACATTTTTTCTGATCCTCTCAACAATGCTAAGAGGTATGCACTCTGGTTAGACCCATTTAACAGATGGGGAAAGTGATGCTGTAGGAGGTTTAGTAACTTGCCGAGGGTCATACCATTAGACAGTGTCCAACACGTCTACCTGTTTTGGAACCCATTGCCACTAGAGAAATGGAGAACATTCCTTATGTTGTCCAGCTGGGGACCTCTGGATCTGGGCATGGTGCTCCGCTCATGGTGCCAGGAGATCAGCCATGGGATGATTCTTTTCCAGGGGGAGTGTTTCTCATTCTTGTTCAGCGGGGGACCTAGAGAAGGGACCATGGAACACTGTAGGATTAGGGATGACAAGTGCTGTTGAAGATGACCTTTGATTTGAGTTTCAGAAGACTGAAATATGGGGCATTTCAGCAAAGGGCAGATTCT